TCATTGAAGCTCGTTTTCTGGCACTTTGCGTTTGCGTTCGCGTTCGGTCCGTGATCATTAAAGCAAAGGTATTGTACCTTGTATCTTTTCCAACTCTCGTAAAGGGTGCTCGACAAACAAGCTATGGTTAAGCGGGTAAACTGCTCCCAATTCAGTACTATCAGCATGTTGACGGTGATTAAGAAAACCCAACTCGCCAACTTAGCGACGTCAATAAAACTGCTTCCCAGACATAGAATCATTTTCATGCAAAAGCTCCCCACCTGACAACGGAAAACTTAATTACTAGGTTTATTAAGCCTTAGCCTATTTGCTAATTAGTTATGTAACACCATGGTGTTACACTAATATAGCTAGAGGGGGGTGAATAACCTATCAAAAATTCTACAAATCACTAGAACAAATTGATTAGTATAACAAAAGGCTTAATGCAATTTTGCTCTAGCTTTAGTGAGTGTGTTGCAAGCCACCTATCCACAAGTCTAATTAGTTATAATCTCTATGGCACACAAAGAGCTATGTTAATAAGCTACTACTAGTGAGCTAGTTACAACTATGTAACACTAAGGAACTAAACTAGCTACACAAGATAAGCTAGCTACCACTACTCAACTACACAAGTAAACAAGGTAAATACAAGAGAGAGTGAGTGATATACCGAGCCGGCAAGAGATCAATCAATCAAGAATACCAAGGGAACCCATTGACGCAAAGATTTTTCTCCTGAGGTTCACTTGCTTGCCGGTAAGCTAGTCCCCATTATGACGATCACTCAACTTGGAGGTTCACGTGCTAATAGGCATCACACGCCTAACCCACACTTAGGTGCCGCACAACCAACACAAGATGAGGATGCTCAATGTCATGAGCAATCCACTAGAGTCACCTTTCGCGATCACACGTGGGGAATAGGCGCAAGAACCCCTCACAAATCATCGGAGTCGGTCACGAACAATTACCAACACGTGCCGAACCTCCACCGCTGCTCCAAGCCATCTAGGTGGTCGCAACCACCAAGAGTAACAAGAAAACCACAGCGGTGACGAACACCAAGTGCCACTAGATACAATCTCACAAGGCAAATGCACCTGGATCACTCAATCTCACTTTGAATGCACAATCAAGCAAGGAGATGAGTGGGAGAGGTTTGCTTTAGCTCATAGGGAAGTATCAATGATTAAAAATGCAAGAGGGAGAGCTAGAGCCGGCCACAATCTATTTATAGAGCCATACCCCTTCACTAGCCATTACCTCTCACGAACCTGTCCAGAGGGTCCTGACCAACTCTCGGGACCGTTCGGACCAACGAGCCTAGGTCCGGACCCCTGCCATAGCCACTGCTACAATGCCACGTGTCCCCTTTGAAAAAACTCAACCGTTGCCATGCGAGCAATGGCTACTGCACGCCCATCCGGAATCTAGCTCTGGACTGCCACAGTGCTCGGTCTGGACCAACCGAAACCTCAGTCCGCATCGATCCAGTAAGCAACTAGATAGGGAAAAAGGTTCTGGACTGAGTTTGGCTACCTCGTCCGGACCATGCCTCATGGTCCGGAGCTCCCTCGCCAACACTCGCACCGCCATGCCACCTCTGCCTCTTCAACCGGACCAAGGAACTTTGGTCCAGACACCATGCTCACCATGGTCCGGTCTGGACCCCTTACTATGCCGTAGGCTAGGGTATGCAACTGGACCGAGGGCCATTGGTACAGTTATCGCACGCCACAGGGTCCAGAGCTCCTCTGCCATCCTTTTTCAACTTCTTTCTTCTCCCCTTGATTCCATGTGCTAACACATAAGTGTTCCACCACTTGTGCACGCGTGTTAGCATTTTTCAAATCATTTTTCAAGGGTTAATTGTTAGCACACTAGATCCTAATGCAAATGCATGTATGACTTCACCTAGTGGCACTTGAAAACCACAATCACAAATGATTTACACCTCTTAATAGTGTGGCTATCAATCCTAAATGTGATCACACTCTCTATAGTGTCTTGATCAACAAACCAAAAATGTCCCTATACGTTATACCTTTGCCTTGAGCCCATTTTTGTTTTTCTCTTTTTTCTTTTCCAAGTGTGGAGCACTTGATCACTTCAACTTGGTCATCTCCTTCACTTGAGTGACATCTAGCTCCATCACTTGTGTGTGTACCAACCTATCTCATGTACACTTATAGCCAATAGGTTAGTACACTTAGGTTTCATCAATTATCCAAAACTAAACTAGGGCTTTCACCCGTAACTTGTTGCCGATCATCAAACACCGACAGCTAGTGCGCTAGGTAGGGGCTTTTGGTGAATTCAAATTCAAAAGCTCGATGGACCTCAGCATCACCACAGTTTTTCCGACAGGATCAACTTTCGTCTTCGGTTCCTTGATCTGCACAGCGGACGACTCCGACAAGCTCCTAGGTCGCCTCATGGAGATCTCAGTGGATCAAGCAGCTCTAGGAAATCACCAAGATGCGCTGGAGGATCTCGTCGATAAAATCGATGATTTTTTCGATTCCTCAGGGACAACAAAGATATCTTCGCTTGGAAGCCGGCCGACATGCTAGGTGTCCCGAGGGATTTGACTAAGCACAAATTGGAGTTGAAACCTGGTTCTAGACTGGCCAAGTAGAAGTTACATCAATTCATGCCTGATAAGAAGGACACCATCAAGAAAGAGATCCCAAAGCTACTAGCAGCCGGGTTCATCAAGGAGATCCTTCATCTTGAGTGGCTCGCTAACCCGGTGCTAGTCAGAAAGAAGAACTCGGCTGAGTGGTGGATGTGTGTCGACTACACCGATCTCAACAAGCATTGCCCAAAGGATCCTTTTGGGCTACCCCGAATTGATCAAATTGTGGATGATGTAGCTAGTTGTGCACTACTCTCCTTCCTTGATTGCTACTCGGGCTACCATCAGGTTGCCCTCAAGGAGGAAGACCAACCTAAGACTTCATTTATCACACCATTTGGTGCTTATTGTTGCAAGACTATGTCTTTCGGGTTGAAAAATGCAGGGGCCACATACCAGTGTGCTATCCAGGAGAGCTTGAGCAAGCAGATTGTCTACACCAGATTTTGGAAAGGACCATAAAAATCCAGAATATGGAAGAGTGCCGTGAAGCATCTGAAAGGCCATGATGTCAGCAGTATTGGCCCAGGCGTCGCGAAGATGGGCTCTGCCAGCAAGGGAAACGGCGTTGGCCTAAAGCATAAAGGAATCGGACTTCATCAAAAAGGAAATCGTGGAGTCCAATTTATGTAAACTAGAGTATTTCTTGTCATTTAAAAATTGTTAAGTCTTATTCGACTAGGACTCGTATCAAGCCCAGGATATAAATATAAACCCCAGCTATTGTAATAAGGCTATCTCTCAATCAATACATCTTTTTGGCTTCACGCCATTGCATTAGGAGTAGGAGTACTATAGATCTCAACGAGTTCTTCAGTGAGTAGGGCTGCATCGATTTCGATCTCCGGTTTGCTTGTAAGTACCATCACGACTTATATCTAATCTTGTAAGACTGCATTAGTTAAGTTTGATCTCTTGCTTGGTTTGATATTAGTCACGACTTGTACCTAATCTTACAAGGCTGCATCAGTTGAGTTTGATACCTTGTTTGATCTGATATTAGTCAGGTTATCGATTTTGTATCTAATATGGTAAGGCTGTATCTTATGACCTCTTGCTTGATTTGGTATTAAATCACCAGTTATAGATTCTATTATGTTTAGTTAGGCTGCAACTTTTGAGCTCTTGCTAGATTTAATAAGAATCACCAGTTATCGATCTTACTACATTTAGTAAGGCTGCATCTCATGATCTCTTGCTAGATTTAGTAAAATCAAAAGTTATCTGACTAGATTAAGGTGCATCGGCTTATATCATATTAATCTATTGTCTTATTCCTTATCACGTTGATCTTTATCTTGACGATAGATTCGTTTCATCGGCTGGTTGTGTCTTAATCTTAGTCATCCATAGTGTGTTTTCAATACTTTGTTTTTCTATAAATAGATCTATCCGCTAGCCATCTTTAGTTTATCTCCCTGCTGCCAACGCTGCATTTTTTGACCTGATTGGTGGTGATGCTAGATTAGATTTTGTTAATTTATGGATTTCTTTATAAGGAGAATAGAGGATTGTTTACACATTATGCTTCATCGGCTCTATAGCCGATGACCTGTGCTTTCATGGTCCACCATGTTTATATCCATCGGCTTCATGATTTACTCTATTTATACATGTATATGTTCTATTTTAGCCGATGGCGTTCACTCATTTTGCATTATACTAACAATCTGCTGGATATCGGCTCCATAGCCGATGGCCTTACTTTATCGGCTCTTTAGCCGATCATGGAACTATCTGGATCAACGGCCGACATGTTCCACCTGAAACTACTGATTATTTTTCCCAATTACAGGTAATATTGACTAGCACGCTCGCGATCCCTAAAATCGATAGGACCTACATTGGAGTTAAGCAGATCTCCTAGGCTTGTCGTGTGTACTCCGTATTAACCAGATTTTTGCGTCGACACATTTATTGGCATGCCTGGTGGGACCACAATCGTCAAGATGGGTGATGAAACAGCAACCAACGTCAGATATGAAGAGCTGTCCAACGAGCACAAGCAGCTCATAGAGAGGCTGATAGAAGAATTCCAAAACCGATGCTTGGAATCATTTGGCAAAATATGAGATAAAGTCATTCAGAAATTTCCACTGCCAAGGATCCTTGCTTCAGGGTAAAGAGATGAGAATACTGAGGAAGACAGAAAATTCTTTCAAGATGTAATTCATCAAACTATCAGTCAAGCTCTGATAAATCAATCTGGGGTCTTTGTGAATACTGTTGCGTTGCATGTATTCTATTTTAGGCGTGTCCTAGATTAGCAGTGAGCGCGGCCAGTTCAGCGCCGTGCGCGTCTTTCTTTCCATGCAAGTGTGCATGAGTGGTGAAACTTGGCCCGGCATTGACGCCCATGTTCCATGGCTGTGGGATGGCGCAGCAAGAAGATCGGGACATGGGCGATGGTGTTCGTGGCCTTGCCGATCCTGTAATGGTGTGTGTCAATAAAAGGAGAAGAAAAGGAAGTAAGTTTGTGCGCTGCGCCAATTCCCTGTCTCTGTGCTTGAATGCGAGTTCGTCGAGTTCACGGCGCTGTTCATCGAGTTCATCATGAAACCACAGATAGCGAGAGAGGAAATGAGAGCGTTCCAGCGAGAATTGAGAGAGAATCTAATCCAACAACTGGTATCAGAGCCCGATTTTGTCGCTGGGATCGTCACTGAGCGATCACCGCAGCATTCATGCCGAGAAACAACTCAAGGTCGCCGCGGCGGCGGCGGCGGTCTTGGTCTCGACCCGGCGGCCGCTCTGGAGGTAGCGGCGGGGATGATCGTGGGCTGGTGCTTCACCACACGGTCAAGGAGCTCGGCAACAACGCTGGGTGGCCAATGCTGACGAGAACAAACTACACCGATTGGGCGACGTTGATGCACGTCATGCTGCAGGGTAGGCACCTGTGGGATGCCATCAATGTTGGCACCAACAGCTTCACCAATGACCGCAATGCCCTGGAGGCGCTGTGCAAGGCGGTTCCAGAGGAGCTCCGCGGGACGATGGCCAACAAGGCCATGGCCAAGGCGGCGTGGGACGCACTGAAAACACGCCACATCGGTGTCGATCGAGTGCGAAAGGCCAGGGCACAGACTCTACGTCAAGAGTTCAACGACCTCGCCTTCAAGGAGGGGGAGACCATCGACGACTTCGCGTATCGCATCACCAAGATCACCGACCAGCTCGCCATCTTGGGTGATGCCTATGAGGAAGAGACGATCATCCGTAAGTTTCTTCAAGCCATTCCAGATTGCTTCCATCAAATTGTAGCGGCCATCGAGACTCTCCTCGATCTCGAGGCAGTCTCCCTAGAGGAGTTGGTGGGGCGGCTCAAGGCAGTTGAGGAACGACTCGATCGTGGGAGAGGAAAAGGTGGTGGAGGCTCGGGTGGCGGCGGCGGCGGCAAGGAGATCATCGGCAAGCTGTATTTCACCGAGGAGCAGGTGATGGCACGCCTCGCATCCCGCCTCAACCTCAACTCCGACAGGTCGGCGGGGCACGGCAAGGCACCGGCCGGCTCCAGCAAGCGTCACGGCAGTACGGGCCACGGTAAGGAACGCGGGAAGGAAACGCGTTCAGGGCCACCCAAAGCAGGCAACGGCCAGGAGGGCGATGATGACGCCTGCCACTACTGTGGCAAGTTCAGGCACTAGAAGCGGGAGTGCTGGAAGAAGAAGCACGACGAGGCGGCGGCGTAGGCGAATCAGCCTCAGGGCAACCTCGTCAAGGTGGAGGAGGAGACGGCCTCTATGTACATGGCCGTGGTGACCCCGGCGGAGAAGGTCGTCCACAGAACGGGCCCCATCGAGCATGTCTTCCTCAACGAACGCAAGGTCATGCCAGACATGGAGGATGGCGGTGATCACAGAGAGTTGAAGTGGTACCTCATCACCAGTGCGTCGAATCACATGGCCGGCGACGCGTCCATCTTCTCCAAGTTCAGTCACGGTGTCATCGGATCCGTGAAGTTCGGGGATGGCTCCCTGGTGGAGATAGCGGGACGCGGCACCATCCTGTTCGAGTCGAAGGACGGCGGCCACCGGGCGTTCCATGACGTATACTACATCCCGCGGCTCCGCAGCAGCATCCTCAGCATCGGGAAGCTCGATGAAATAGGCTGCAAGATCGACATCGACGACGGCATCCTCCGAATGTGGGACAAGGGGAGCCAGGAGCTGCTGGACAAGGTGAAGTGCACGCCTAATCGCCTGTACATCCTCCCGCTCAAGCCGACCAGGGCGGTGTGTCTGGCCGCATGCTTCGACGATGACGAGTGGAGGTGGCATGCTCATTTCGGCCATCTGGGGTTCCAGGCCCTACAGAAGATGAGTAGTGGTGGCATGGTGCGCGGGCTGCCCTCCATCGAGCACATCGAGCATGTGTGCGACATGTGCCTGGCTAGGAAGCAGCGTCGAGCGCCGTTCCCTCAGGCAACCAAGTACCGCGCCACCAAGCCCCTGGAGCCGATCCATGGCAATCTATGCGGCGCGGTGACACCACCAACTCCTAGTGGTAAGAAGTACATCATGCTCATCGTTGATGATATGTCCAGGTACATGTGGGTGGTCCTGCTCGCAAACAAGTCGGACACCGAGAACGCATTCAAACGCATGCGCGCCGGCGTCGAGAATGAAGCTGGGCGGTGGATTCAAGCGTTCTGCACTGATCATGGGGGGGAGTTCGTGTCAGCGAGCTTCCTCGAGTACTACACTGAGCATGGCATCAAGCGTCACCTAACCGCGCCGTACAGTCCGTAGCAAAACGGCATGGTGGAGCGGAGGAACTAGTCCGTGCTCGCCATGGCGCGGAGCATGATGAAGGCCAAGAATGTTCTAGCCTGGCTTTGGGGGGGGGGGAGGCTGTGATGACAGCTGTCTTCCTCCTGAATCGAGCCCCGACGTGGAGCCTGGTGGGCTAGACGCCATATGAGGTGTGGTACGGTGTCAAGCCGGCCGTCCACTTCCTGCGTGTGTTTGGCTGCGTGGCTCATGTCAAGGTCACAAAGCCAAACACCAAGAAGCTGGACGATAGGAGCCGGAAGATGGTGTTGATCAGCTATGAGGAGGGATCAAAGGCGTACAGGGTGTTCGATCCCACTGTGAACCGTGTGCATATCATGCGCGACGCAGTGTTTGAAGAAGGGGCGGCCTGGGACTGGGGCACATCTGACAAAGGCGACAATGGAGAGATCATGAATAGTGTTGAGCAAGGCGGTTTTGTGGTGGAGGATGAATGGGTGAGTCCAGGCAAAGAGGAGATGGTCGCTGCCACACTGGCAGGACCCGGCTCCACGACGGCCTCACCGGGGGGTCGCGCTGCATCACCAGGTGTGGCACCGACCCCACCGGGCTCGACACCACCGGGTTACATGCCTGGTGAATCGGCTTCATCGGTGGCGCCCACAACCATGTCGTCATCGTGCATGCCACGAGTCCAAGGAGGTCCAGTACCATGGCAAGGTGAACTACCATAGAAGGATCAGGTCCCCGTTGAGTTCATGTCCCCTGCCTCCGCAGCACTAGAGACACTGGATGCGGACGATGACGAGGGGCTCGCACATCAGTTCAGGATCGTGGACAACCTGCTATACGACGATGATGAGCCGGTGACAGATGATGATCTGCTCCTGGCTATCGATGAGGGACCTACCACCTACAACGAGGCGTCAGGTCATAAGGAGTGGAAGATGGCAATGGCGGAGGAGCTGAAGTCCATTGCTGACAACAAGACTTGGACGCTCATTGAAGCACCACCTGGAGCGAAGCTGATCAGGCTCAAGTGGGTGTTCAAGATCAAGCGCGATGCCGACGGCAACATCACCAGGCACAAGGCTCGCTTGGTGGCGAAGGGGTATGTGCAGCGCGCCAGCGTTGACTTTGAGGAGGTGTTCGTGCGCGTGGCGCATCTGGAATCTATATGGTTTCTCCTCACCATTGCCGCGCATCGAGGGTGGATGGTGCACCACCTCGACGTGAGGTCGGCATTCTTGAACGGTGACCTGGCAGAGGAAGTTTTCGTCGAGCAGCCACCAGGCTATGTTGTCCGGGTTAAGGAGCGGAAGGTGTACAAGCTACACAAGGCGCTGTATGGGCTCAGGCAGGCGCCCAGGGCCTGGAACACCAAGTTAGACAGCTCCCTGCTGAAACTTGGGTTCAGGTGCAGCGCGGCGGAGCATGCCGTGTACGTGCGCGGAACCAGCGATGACCTGCTACTCGTCGGTGTCTACGTGGATGATCTTGTCGTGGTTGGGGCGAACCAGACGGAGGTCAAACGCTTCAAGGAGGAGATGGCAAGGCTCTTCAGCAGGAGTGATCTCGGCCCTCTACACTACTACCTGGGGATCAAAGTGCAGCAGAGCACGAACGGCATCATGTTGTGCCAGAGCGCGTACGCTGACAAGATCATTGAAAGGGCTGGGCTGAAGGGGTGTAATCCGTGCAACACTCCCATGGAGCCACGGTTGAAGTTGAGCAAGGTGAGCTCCAACCCACCTGTTGATGCCACACTGTATCGCAGCATCATCGGGAGTCTGCGGTACCTGGTGCATACGCGTCCAGACATCGCGTTCACGGTGGGCACGGTGAGCAGGTTCATGGAGGCGCCAACAATGGAACACTAGAGCGTCGTCAAGCATCTCCTCAGGTACATTTCAGGTACGTGCTCTCACAGCTGTGAGGGTGCACTGGAGCTGATCGGCTACAGCGACGCCGACCTGGCCAGGGACTACGACGATCGGAAGAGTACCTCTGGTGCCTTCTTCTTCCTCGGCTAGAGCCCTGTGAGCTGGTAGTCACAGAAACAGCGTGTGGTGGAGCTATCGTCGTGCGAAGCAGAGTACATCGTCGGTGCCACCGCGGCATGCCAATCTTATATGTATCGGCGCCCATATCCACAGTGGTTTGATCGTGTGGCTCTCCCAGCTCGTTACAGGGTCCCTGATTTCTCCAAGTTTTCTGGCCAAGATGATGTATCGATAATTGAGCACGTTGGCCGATTTCTTGCGTAATGTAGAGAAGCAGCTTGTGAGGAGGCATTAAGAGTTCGATTCTTTCCTCGGTCTTTGTCTGGATCGGCCTTCACTTGGTTTGCATCATTGCCACCTGACTCTATTATAGGTTTGGCCGATCTAGAAAAGAAATTTTATAAATACTTCTTTGTCAGAATACATGAGATGAGGTCTACAGATCTAACATCACTGAGGCAGAGAAATGACGAATCAGTTTCTGATTTTATTCAGAGATTTCATGATGTGTGAGAAGCCGATGCTTTAATGTGTCCTTGTCTGATGGTTAGCTTGCTGAATTGGCTTTTCAAGGATTATTGCCAATTATAAATGAAAAATTTTCCTCTCATGAATTTGAAAGCCTTGCACATCTAGTTTAGAGAATATCGGCTCATGAAAGCTTATTTCAAGAAATGCGTAGAGACAAATATCAGAAGGGGGTTGCCAATGTCAAACCGTATGCTTCAGATTCTGATGATGATGCGTTGGAAGTAGGCCTGGCTGAATGGACTAGGAACAAGAAGCTAGTTTCTTGTCCCTGGGTAAAAGTATCAGAGGACAAAGATGATTTTGATATTACAAAAGCCAATAAGATCTTTGATTTGCTGTTGCAGCAGTGGCAACTTAAGTTATCTCCAAATCATACTATTCCATCGGCTGAAGAGCTTAAAAGTCAGAGGTACTACAAGTTCCATAACTCTATATCTCACCATACTAATGATTGCAAAATTTTCCTTTAGCAAATTCAATCGGCTATTGGGCAAGGCAGAATCAAGTTTGACGCAGCCAAAAAGCCGATGAAGATTGATGGACATCCTTTTCCTACAGGCACAAATATGGTGGAAATCAGCTTGACCAATGGAAAATCTAAGGTGTTGACATCGGCTAGAGCAATAGAGTCTGGAGCTGTTGATCCTAGAGTACAACTCTCAGTCAATGAGTATAAAGAAGCCAAGAGGTGTCGTGATATGCAAAGAAGCCGATGTGAACAAAGTGAGAGTTCTAAAACTGGAGCTAGCCATCCACGCATAACATCTCAAGTACTATTGAACAAGTGGCAGTGCTAGCAAGAGAAGGAGTACCAGCATCGGCTAGAAGAGGAAGAGTACTGGCGCCAATGTGAGGAGGAAAGGTATGAAAGAGAACAAGCTGAGTCACATTGGTAGTGTCCTTTCTTCAGGATTGTTGGAATGAAGGCTTGAGCTTACCAACCAAGGACAATTGTCCAGAATGCAGTGATCAATATTGGGAGTACCAGCAATCTCAAGTCAACCATCGATCTATCCATGACCGTTTAGTGTATCAATCAGATGATATGGATCGGCGAGTAAAAAATGAAAGAAGGCCAAATGTACATGATCGGTTAAGAAAGCATAAGCTAGATCATGATTGACTAGAAGAAGATGAAGATGTTTGGGATGAGAAACAATGGTTAAGATGCAAGGAAATAGAAAGGGAGCAGAGCTAGAATTCTGACAAAACTTGAGTCTGGCGCGCCAAGCAGAAAGCCGATGATGGTAAACCGTCAGCTCCAATTAATATGGTTTCTTCTTGCCTGCAAAATCCAGAGCTTATTCTAATGAGGACTTTGAGGACCCTATGAGATTGAAGAGGCGATGGCATAGCTAACACTCCAACTGCAACAAGCCT